GAAATTGGTTCGATGGTAAAATAATATTGTACAACACTGACTATGGCCCCAAAACTAGATAAATACAATAAAATTAAACAATTGTACATCTTCCTCCTGGGTGAACCTGGATTGCACACCTGCATTCAGGCCTGACTGAGGTTTTGAAGTTGATCTGGAGGACATAAAGGATCAACATCTTTTATGTTTTTTATTGTTATGTTGTGTTTTGATGTACAGCACTTTGTATCAGCTGTGGTTGTTTTAAAGTGCTTTATAAATAATGTTGGCATGGTATGGATGAATTTGCAGTCTGCTGCCACACTGGGGACTGGAATTACAAGCCCTACTTGAACCAGAGTTTTGAAAACGGGGAACATTACTCCAGTTAAAATAATGAAAAGTTTCCTGATCCCATTCAGTGGTAGAAAATCCTGCAGCAATGGTTCAGCTGCACCAAACATAACTCTTCAGCATGCTGTCAGCTCCCAGAGAGCGAGATGCACTGAGTTCAGAATATATATATCATCATGAAAATATTCCCTGCTGTAAAGGGATTGTCGGTGTTTTGACTGGACTAAAACTTTTCTTTTCTGTGAAGATATCTTTTGCCGTTTATTTGCTAAGTAGTTAGCATGAGCTAGGCCTAGCTGAACTGGTTCAAATTGAGGTTTCTCAATAAAGTCTTATTAGACATCATGTTTTTTTCTTCATATGGTCCTTTTTCATTTTTTGTGCAAAATTTAACAAAAAACTAAACCATTTTCACCACAGTGCTGTTTATTTACTCATCTGTAATCCAGTTCTTGTGGACAGACATCACCTATTTATTACCCTTTTACCCATTTGTTGGTTTAAAAACCAACTCAGCCTGCTTGGTCTAATCAACAGCATTAAATGCTTTAACCCAGCATTTTCTCATCACTGTTTTTCAAGTCCCAGTTATTACAGCTGTAAGGAAAGTTTCTGTGTAGAAAGAGATTAATAACCAATATTATTTGGGTGATAAACATTTGTTTTGTTTGTCCTGTGTCACTGTGCTGCTCTGTGATGGACTGTCCATGGTGAGGCCTCCCTTTTGAGAAACACGTCAGCTCCCCGTGCAAACCCACAAGGTCGACCAGGTATAGACAATGGATGGATGGATTTCTGCTTTTCATCACAGAACAGGAAGGAGGCAGCAGATGTTATCTCAAATCCTCCCAGGATCAATTAGTTTAACATAACAAGTTTGAGTAAGACTCTGGCCCTCTGAGAAAAGAAATAGGCTTGTGTAAAGAAAAAAAAAACCCATCAGGATTCTCCTGAGGCCAGATGAGAAGATATTGTCCCATTATGGTGCGACAAAAACAAACAGTGTGACTGATTAGGAAAATTTAAATAAGTGATCATGCAAAGTAACAACAAGTTACTGCAAACTAACAACAAGCCAGTATGACTCTCTTTCTTTGATTGCACAAAGTTGGGAAGTAAAAAAAAAAAAAATCTGTATTTTTTTTCAGAAAATCTCTAATAATCCAGACCATTAAGAATGTTGAACTACTTAAAAACTGATTTCCTCACAAAAATGTGCCGTTAAATAAATATCACTGGCTCTGGCATGACAGAGCTAATCTGTGTTTGGACTTTTTTTTAATAAAATCACAGTTGATAAATATGTTTAAATCTAATTAAACAATTCAATTACAGAAAAAAAGCACATCAGAATTAGGTGGATAACCAACACTGCATCTTTTCAATAAGCTTGATTTCCACATTCTTATGTTTCTTTGTGAAAATAATTTGTCCTTCTCCTTTATTCCTTGAAGTGAATCTCCTGTGGGATAAATATTCGTACTGCACCTGGGGAGGGAATTGTATTAATTTTCAACAATAGCCTAATAGAAAATCCCTGTGGAAGTTACACCATGCACCAGCTTGACTTCAGGAGCCACGAATCTCTAATAGTCACTTGAGATAAGTTCTGGTTTTTGACACAACACATTGGGCCACATGCAATGTCATAGGGCTGCCTGTGGCTGTTCAGCCTCTGGGCCTTTATAAAACCACATAACTATAAAGACAATAACAAATAAAAAACTTTGGCAGTTCTTTTCTGTGTTTTTATTAAACCTACACAGAATATCAACAACAGAAAGGTTAAAAGCTTACTTCTGGAAAGAGCTCACTTTGCTTGTCTGATTCTACAAAACAAATACTTTTTTCTTATTGAAAAGTCAAAAGCTGCTTGTTGGTGCATTCGTAGGTTTAAAATGATGGGCTGGCTTGGTTTGGTGTAATTGAACAAATAGAAAATTAGAAAATGGCCTCTTTCTTACAGCACTAACATGAGTAAAATGTAAATAATAATAAAAAAGTTTAGTCGTTGAACGAGAGCATCAGCTGAGCTTCTGATGAGGACATATTATCCTTCTATAGATTCAGATTTATTCAAGTCCTGAATGGACAATTAATGTTACAGCAAGTATATACACATATGAAAAGATAAGTTAAAAAATAAAAGTCGTGTTTCTAAACTCCAAGCATTGTTTGAACAATATTTCCAAATCATATCAAATAATTTATTATGAAAACATTATAGAAAGATTTTTGAACCTAAATTTTACTAAACAGTCGATTAAATACCCATAAATTTAGCCTAGCCATTGTCATCCTACACAATTCAGCTTGATTCTCATTTTCTTTCACTGCTCTGTCTGGGATTTCTCCCATTGAACTGGATTTCAACCGGACCAAACAGCAAACAGAAGGACAAGTTGTGAACGATGTCCTCATTCACCTCTTATTGAGTCAGTTTGTTTCGTGTTATTGATTTCCTAAAGTGAGACACTAGATGAAAAACATTTATTCTGTACCCGATGAAGAAATGTCATCAATCAGTTCATTTATTAAGCAACAGTAGCATTATAACATGTCTCTTTTTAAGGGTACACAATGCACCAGATTGATCTTGGAAGCCTTGGGACTCTAATAGTCACTTGAGTTCAGCTTGGATGCTATTATATGCACAAGACAAGCGATCAGACGGGTCTAATAAGAATGATGACCGCATGTGAAGCAGCCCTTCAGGGTTCACTCCTCTGGAATTTGGATGCTATTAATCGCAGCTTTGGCATCTAATTTTTCAAACTATTAAGCGCATGTCCTAGTCTCAGAGGCAAGACAAGATTAAATAAGATAGGATGCTTTTCTCTTATTAAATGAATGAAACAGGGATTTAGGTGAGCAAAGGCAGAAACTGCTTTATTATTCATGTTCAACCCTGAGCTAAGCATGTTGAGGATGTTTAAACCAGAGCTTGTAATTTTTATCCTATAAAGTTTGAGATCTTGACGCTATTCGTCTTAGACTTTCATTTTAACGGCATACCAACAGCAAATATTCAGGGAATAAAGTTACTCGTTTCACAGGGCTATACAGTAATTGTTGTTGTTGTATAGGTTACATAACGTGAGCCCTTCTCTCCCTTGGCTTTCAGGTGCAGTTAGGGAAACGGTGTTTACCTCAGGATGTGTCATCACCCTGCAGAAGCAATAACAACAAAACAACTCATTAACCCTCTCCACAGGCTGCGCTCCATCCAGGGACTGAAGAACATTTCAACTATGGAGTTACAGCAACTTTGCAGGAATAAACTTATTTATACTGCGTTGCAATGTGTTTTATCCCTGAAACTTTTCCACATTTTATCTTGTTACTAGCAGTCTTCGTTGTATTTTATCAGGATTTTACGTGAGAGACCATCACAAAGTCGAGTAGTAAAAGTATTTGCTCCCTTACAGATTTCTTCTGTTTGTGGTCATGAAATATAATACCAGACAAAGAGAACCTGAATAAATGCAAAAAACTGTTATCAAATGATTGAAAAAATATCCAACCTAACCTTTTTCATATCTCATGACAATAAGTAGAGCTTGAAACATAAACATACCAGCAAAATGAGATCTTTGCTTTCTGGCCCAACTCTTTCTGTACCACAACAGATAATTCATTCTCAGCTTGAGAAACTGATAATCAAGCATTCAAGACAAAATCATCATCTTATCATCTTGAGAAAACAATCAATGTCTTCTTATGATAATGGGAGAAATTATCTTATCATCTTGACCAAACGGTTATCCTTATCTGATAACAAAATACGTTAATATTGAGAAAAAAAAAACTTGAGTAGAGCCTCTCTTGACTTCACTTCAATACACCTGTCTAAGAAAAACATTTAAAAGGAGGAACAGTTTATAATATGGTAAAATAACCTTAAAATATTATAAAAATGTAGTATTTAGCAGATTTTATTCAGATTTAGGTTTTTGTTTTGGTTGAGCATTCCCGCTTCTTTAGCTTATTTTACCAGTTTTAAAATTAGTGGCTTCAACAATTTTGACAGAATTAAACAAATTCAAGAAAGGCAGTTCTGTTTCAGAAGTGATTGTTTTTTTTAAAAAAAAATTAGTCTTGAAAGTTGGAATATGCGTGTGGTTTGGTCTTATGATCTGCTGAGATGTGCTATACAAATAAAATGTGATTGATTGATTGATTGATTGATTGATTGATTGATTGATTATGAATGCATGATCTCCCAGTAATTCAGCTGCACATCTTGCATTCACAACTGCTTGGGAATTCCCATGCAGCTTTATAGGACACCTCTTAGAGCCACAACGTTTCAAAGCAGGTTGATGATTTCTTTAATTCTCTGAGGACTTGTAACTTTTACTTCAGTTGTTTTCTAAGTTACAGCATCTGTTTGCACTCTTTTTTGTTGAGTTTTGAAATGAAAAGTAATTTAGTGGATCAATTCTGTGCAGAAGTCAGTTTTGGACACATGAACTCGATTCTTTTGCACCGTTGCTGAAGTGTTTTCATACAGTGTTTGGAAAAGCAACACTCAGGGGATCAGAGACAAACATAAAGCAGATATGAAAAGCTGTTGGGCTTATTAGTTTCCTTACTGTTGGTGTAGCAGCTGCTGACAGCAAAGATAGGACTCGGTTTGCAACAACAGGCATGACAGTAATCTGACAATGGATTTATTTAATCCTTTTTTTGTAAAAAATAGCACATTTATCCAACCTGCCTATTTTATTATAAGTGGATTTATTGGCTTACCTAATATGAAGTATTACTACGTCTTTCTCTTTTTTGTATTTATAGTTTCAGTGCTTGGAAACGTGGCTGTAATGGCTGTAATCTGTCTGGATCATAATCTCAGAACTCCAAAGTATGTTGCCGTTTTTAACCTTGCATTTGTGGACCTCTTAGGTAGCTGTGCTCTGGTACCAAAGGTCCTTGATATCTTTTTGTTTAATCATTATTATGTCCCCTACAACGACTGCTTGACGTTCCTTTTCTTCTGCTACACTTGCCTTTCGATGCAGGCTCTTAATCTGGTTGCTCTCTGCTACGATCGCCTGATGGCCATCATGTTTCCTCTGCACTATCATGTAAAGGTTACTCATAAGATTATGTTTTCCATGATTACCTTTTTTTGGCTGTTTGTAATAACTTGTGTTTTACTTGCAATTGGCCTTCTTACAAGGCTTTCCTTCTGCAAGTCTGTGGTCATTAACAGCTATTTCTGCGACCATGGCCAAATCTACAAGCTGGCATGCAACGACAATTTTCCTAATTTTGTGATCTCACACCTCCTTCCATGTCTGTTTCTTTGGCTTCCTCTTGTTATAATATGTTCCAGTTACATATGTATTGGATACACTTTAGCTCAGGTTGTTGCAGCTCAGGAAAGGGCGAAGGCTCTCAGAACCTGCACAGCTCATCTCTCGTTGGTAGTGATCTATTTCTGTCCAATATTGATCACGTTTACGATGGGTTCTGGCATCCATCCAAACGCCAGGATCATTAACCTGTCTTTGACCTCTGTTATTCCTCCACTGTTGAACCCAGTCATTTATGTTCTGCACACACAAGAAATAAGATCATCAATTAAAACAATACTAAAAGGAAGGAATAAATCTAAAATTATGGTGAAATAAACATTTTTGAGGCCTGTTTTCTGTTTCAAACAACAGAAGTATGTTAACATATATCATTTATTTTTGCATAAAAAAAGGACAGAGAGGCTTTATTTTAGCATTTGTTCTGAATTATGTAATCCTTTTAGCTCAGTTGTCTGTGGATGCTAACTTCTGTTTTGATATTAATAACAATCAATTTCTAGTTCTTTTCTAGTTCCTGACTGGATTTCCTGTTAAATTCCTCTTGTCTTTCAATGTCTATGCAAAGCATTTCCTAAAGATTTACTTAAAATTAAATTCAGATTTATGAAATAACCTGCTGTTTCCTCTAGAAGAAAATGTAATTTACTCTAACTGAAGATATAAAATAAAAAACCTGAATAATGAAATTATCTTTGTTTGTTTACTGGACCCATTTACAGTATTTCGTATTGGATTAACATTAACATTAACATTTTTATGGTGTCTTATTGCTCTAAAAACGTTGATATTGACAATATTGTACAATAATGATATTTTTGATTGCCTGAAAGTTTGCAATATTAGCTTAGCACTAAAGGCTATTGTGCTTCATATGAATTTTATATTATTAAAACACTGTTTGTTTTACCGACATATATTTGAAACTGTCTCCTCTTCAGAAAATATTGCCTATTTTTTTTTCTCACAGTGACATTAAATCAACTGTTTTGCAGCTTATTCTATGAGAGAACAAGGTTGAAATCTTTATTTGATCAAAACAGAGCAACACAACCAGTTGACGTGCTTCTGTAGAAAATAATTTCTCTTCAAATGGCTTTGAAACCTTCATTAATGAAACTTAAAATAGTTGCAACTTCTGCAGTAAAGGGTGGAGGTGTTAGCATGATCTGTTAGCATTTATGGCTTGATCAACAAATGGAAAATAATTTTCCACTTTGGACACATTTAGGGCAAATTGACCAGTGAGTCGTTCTGTTTCCTTCTCTAGCTCTAACATAAAAGTATTATCATAGATACTTTCATTTTCTTGGCAAATTAATTAACAGTACCTAATAACTAATTACGATTAACTAATAGTAATTACTTCAAATAATTTGAACAACCATGTCAAAATCTTACCAAATTTGTTTATTTTTTATGCAACTGTGAGAAAATATTTCTGAACTGAAGTTGATTTCTGAAGATTATTTCAAACCTACTTGGCATTTTGTGATTTACATTGGGGTTCTGAGGCCAATTTTAGGGACTGGGTCAAAGGTGTGCCAGTAATTGAAACAAGAGCACTAAGCAGGCTGTAGATCCATCTTACTAAATCAGTTTAAATGTGAAGGAAGTTGATCCTATAATCTAGCAACAATTTATAATGCCTAAGCAGTGTTGTGGTCAAGATCACCTAACCTGAGACCAAGACAAGACCAAGACTAGAGTGTATCGAGACCGAGACAAGACCAAGACTTTTAGGGTCCGAGACCAAGTCAAGACCAAGACCGAGGGGAGTCGAGACCGAGTCAAGACCAAGACCAGCGGCCCGCACTACATGACACAATAAAATGCAAAATATGATCAAAATTGCTTCTCAAACTGATCTGAAAGATCCATATTCCCATAAAAACACCTAGATATTAAATACTTAATACATTTTACCAATATTAAATATTCCATTTATGTGCTAAAAAGTGTGATGGTCTCGTGCCATCCCTAAAAACATAACTTCCTGGGCATTTGCCCATATTGCTCATATAAGAAACCACCACTGTTGCATCATTAATTGCTATCAATTGAGGCAATGCCCTGACGGTAAATAACGCTCAACTACCAACACTGACCAAGGAGCAACAAGCAAGAAGTAACCAAACAGAAGGCGCTCATCGTGACTGTTTTCACTCTCTATCCCAGTACATGAAGCCAGGTAGTCTGACACCATGGCACACATTACAGCTGCCACTGTGAACGAAAACAAAGAGCAATGTGCATTCTCTGCATGCTCTTTCGTTCTTATGTTTTAGTTATTTGTTATTTTAAAAAATATCAACGTACATAATTAAAATAATAACAGCTACTGCAGTGTACGCAGAGCATTACAAGAACAAAGAATGGGTGTTCTGTCAGGTCAGATCGTCATATGCTTAGCACGAACTCACGGCTATATCTGTCAGACACCATAAGATTTCATTTAATCAGCAACATAGAATCATGACGTAGCTCGTCATACACTTTGTTAATAATAGTTGTGTGGCATCCTGACTTAGCGGTTAAGTAGGTTAATGAGTTTTACACGGGTGTGTGTTGTAGCTGACTCCAGCTGCAGCCAGACCCTGCTTAAATACACATTGAAACCACGACAACATATAACGCATGTATATCTATATAGTTATCATTGTAAACAATTTAATGACTTATTTTCGCCATAACTTGTTGCGTATGGTGAACTGACAACTCGTCTGACGGTCGGACTTTTTAATGCGCATGCATGGTACTCACTG